ACTATGTTGTATGCTCGATTGAAGAGGCGAATGACACTGATGAAATGTCACTTGATGATTTGGAAAGCTCCGTCCTGGCTCATGAAAAGAAGCTGATCTCACAGGACAATGAAAGTGAGCAGGCTTTGAAGGCCTCTGTAAATCACCATTCCTCATCAGGAAACAGAGGTGGTCGGGGCAGAGGTCGTGGGAGAGGAAGAGGAAGCAACTACCAAAGCCAAAATCAGCCCAATCAGTTCCAAGGAAGAGGAGGAGAACGTGGAGGTCATCACTCAACAAACCATAAATCAAGGTCAGTAGACAAATCAAAAGTTGAGTGCTTTCGTTGCCACAAGTATGGTCACTACCAAAATGAGTGCTACACCAATTTGAAGGGGCAAAATGAGGAAAAAACTCATTTTGCTGAAAAGGAAGAAGAGATATCCCTGTTGATGGCTTGCAGCATTACCGAACCAGCTCAAAAGAACAAGTGGTATTTGGATTCTGGGTGCAGCAACCATATGTGTGGAGATAAGAATGTTTTTACCACTCTTGACGAGTCATTTCGCAACACTGTCAAGTTTGGTGATAACTCTACTGTTTCAGTTATGGGAAAGGGAACAGTCAGTCACCAAGCCAAAGATAACTCCACCCACATCATCTCGGATGTTCTTTTTGTTCCAGATTTGAAGCCCAATCTGCTCAGTATTGGTCAACTTCAAGAAAAGGGATATGAAGTTTCTATCAAGGATGGAGTGTGTCGTATTCGAGATGCAAAGTTGGGTTTGATTGCTCAGGTCAAAATGACGGAGAATCGTATGTTTCCACTTTATCTTCAACCTACCAGTCATGCTTGTTTCACAGCAAGGCTAAAAGACGACATGTGGCTGTGGCACTTTCGCTATGGACACCTAAACTTTGGTGGACTAAAAGACTTTGCAGCAGAAAAATATGGTGTCTGGTCTCCCTCAAATCACCGTTCCCTCTCAAGTCTGTGAAGAGTGTGTTGTCAGCAAACAGCACCGTAATCAATTTCCAAAAAGAGCATCCTGGAGAGCAAAGAATGTATTGGAGCTGGTACATTCAGATATCTGTGGGCCGATTAAACCATTATCCAATGGAGGTAACAGATATCTCATTACTTTCATTGATGATTTTAGTAGAAAAATATGGGTTTATTTTCTGAAAGAAAAGTCAGAAGCTTTTGATGTATTTAAGAGCTTTAAAGTGCTGGTTGAGAAGGAAAAAGGTTGTCCTATCAAGGTCCTACGCACAGATCGTGGGGGTGAATATATGTCTACAGAGTTCAAGAAGTACTGTGCAGATAATGGAATCAGGAGGCAACTTACAGCAGGCTATACACCACAACAAAATGGTGTATCCGAACGGAAGAATCGCACTATTATGAACATGGTGCGAAGCCTGTTGAAGAGAAGTGGTATCCCTAAGTCTTTTTGGCCAGAAGCAGTGAATTGGAGTGCTCATATTTTGAACAGAAGTCCTACACTTGCTGTTCAAAACATGACACCAGAGGAGGCTTGGAGCGGAATTCGTCCCTGTGTTGACTCTTTCAGAATCTTTGGGTGTCTTGCATATGCCCATATTCCAGATCAAAAAAGATCCAAACTTGATGACAAAGGGGAGAAATGTATTTTCCTTGGTGTTAGTGATCAATCCAAGGCTCATAAGCTCTATAATCCTATCACCAAGAAAATAATTATTAGCCGGGATGTGATCTTTGATGAACGCAGATTCTGGCCAGCCACTCCTGAAGATGAGATTCAACTTCCAGCAACACTTGTTGACGAAACGGATGATGAAAGGCCACAAACACCTCCATCATCTGTTCCAACAACAGTAGAAGGATCTGGAGAAGCAACACCAGAGAATAATTCTCGTCCTCTGCGTGTTAGACGAAGGCCAACATGGATGCAAGATTATGCTGTACCTCGAGTGGATGAAGATGAAACCACCTATTTTGCTTTGTTTGCAGATTCTGATCCAGTCAACTTTGAAGATGCTGTTACAACAGCAAAATGGAAAATGGCAATGGATTCTGAAATTCAATCAATTGAAAAGAATGACACCTGGGAGTTGACAGATCTTCCCAAAGGCTGCAAGACCATCGGTGTGAANTGGGTCTACAAAACAAAGTTGAAGGAAAACGGTGAAGTGGACAAATACAAGGCAAGGTTGGTGGCAAAGGGATATAAGCAAGAGTATGGAGTTGATTATAAAGAAGTGTTTGCACCAGTTGCACGACATGACACCATCAGATTGGTGATAGCTTTGGCGGCACAGAATTCTTGGCCCATCTTCCAATTGGATGTCAAATCAGCCTTTTTGCATGGAAACTTGGAGGAAGAGGTATTTATTGAACAACCTTCTGGTTACATTAAGTTTGGAGAGGAAAATAAGGTTTATAAGTTAAAAAAGGCTCTTTATGGATTAAAACAAGCTCCTCGAGCTTGGTATAGTCGTATTGAGACATACTTTCTGAAAGCAGGTTTTCAGAAATGCCCTTATGAGCATACATTTTTTGTCAAACTAAGAGATGATGGGAAAATGCTCATAGTTTGTTTATACGTTGATGATCTTATATTCACTAGGAATGATAATTCTATGTTTGATGAATTCAAGAGGTCTATGATGAATGAATTTGAAATGTCTGACCTTGGAAAGATGCATTACTTTCAGGGTTTAGAAGTGGTCCAATCTGCAGATGGGATTTTCGTTTCGCAGAAGAAATATGTAAGGGAAGTTCTCGAAAAGTTTAAAATGCAGGACTGTAATTCTTGTGACACTCCAGTTGAGTTTGGTTTGAAATTGCACAAAGATGAAGAAGGAGAAAAGGTGGACAACACACTCTACAAGCAGATTGTTGGTAGTTTAATGTATTTAACAGCTACGAGGCCGGATATTGTGTATGCTGTTAGTCTGATAAGCAGGTATATGGAGAATCCAACGGATATGCACCTACAAGTTGCCAAGAGAATCCTTCGTTACTTGCAAGGAACTAAGGATTTTGGGATGTTCTACAAGAAGGGTGTCAAGTCTGGCTTTGTTGGATTTACTGACAGTGATTTTGCAGGGGATATTGATGACAGAAGGAGCACCTCAGGCTATGTTTTTATGCTCGGCAGTGGGGCTGTTTCATGGTCCTCTAAGAAGCAGCCCATTGTCACTTTGTCAAGCACTGAAGCTGAATTTGTAGCTGCTACAAGTTGTGCGTGTCAAGCAGTTTGGCTAAGGAAAATTCTTGAAAGGCTGCAGTTTGAACAAGAGGGAGCTTCTATTATATTTTGTGATAACAGCTCTGCTATCAAGTTGTCAAAGAATCCAGTACTACATGGAAGAAGTAAACATATAGATGTCAGATTTCATTTTCTCAGGGACTACACAAGAGATGGAGTAATCCAGCTTCTACACTACAGGAGTGAAGACCAACTTGCTAATGTGATGACTAAACCTCTAAAGCCAACAATATTTTCGAGATTAAGAAAGCTACTGGGAGTTTGTGAATCTTGCTAAACTGAAATTATTCTTATAACTTTCAGTTTACAGGAGGGTATGTTGAATAATTGACTGTATTGAATTAGTCATTTCATTTGTTAGAGTTGTCCTATTCTTTTGGAATAAGCCAGTGGCTTCATTAGAGTTGTCCTATTCATATGGGATTAATTTTCTACATGATCTGTTAGTGCCTAATTTGTAGGAATCAGTTGTATTAGTGCCTATTTAAAGGCTGTATCATCCTGAATAAATATATCACTTCTTCTTCCCAATTCTCTGATTCCTTTTATCATTCACAGAGAAAGATTTCCCTTCATATAAGCTATAATTTCCTCTTCCTAATTAGTGCACAGTAGGTGTTTGTTTATATTTCTCAAAGAATCTATACCTGACACCTTGTTCATCGCCGTGAAGAACTTGTCCTCGATACGATCCCACATCATATCGCATCCTTCGTTTGCTCCGAACTTTTTAAAAAGTATAACACGAAATTTTTTTATGACACGATTATATATAATTTTATATAAATAAAAACATAAATATATTAGAAAACATAAATTTTTACCAACGATAGGATGCTCGGAGACGTCAACCCAAGCTAACGCTAATAAGCACTCTTCCTCTGGCGTCCACTTTTGGATTGACCGTGCCGCCGCGGTCATCGTGCCTTTTGCTTTGTGGCTCTTCCGGCGTGCACTTTTTTTGGTGCCGGATGGTCCCGGTTGAGTCTTCGGAACCGAATCTCGATCGACGTACCCCGATTGTTGCGTCTCGAACATCGGCGGATGATTCCCGCATTGTTGGAAATACCACATCGCGGACTCATGAGGCTCGAGATCGTCGGGGAAAAAGCCGGAGCCGCAAGGATTCATGTTCAAAAGAGAGTTGGAGAATTGAAGAATATGTGAACAAGATTGAAGGTGTGAGAATGGGAGGGGGAGGAGTTTGAAATTTATAAAAAAAATTAAATTTTTTTTTTTTTTGGGTTCAACGGCTATAATAGCCGTTAGGAGGGGATTACAGCGTCATTGGTTTGACGCGTGCATGCTGATGCCGGGATGAAGCCGCAGGGGGGTGGTGTTTAACGCCCCCTGGGCGTGAAAATGGCCATAACGTCGGTCGGCGTTACGAGTATACCTAGTGCTCTAAGAGTAAAACTTTTACATGGAGATTTTGAAAAGTAAAATATTGGATGGTTAAAATTAATTGCTTCTGTCTCTGTAACAGCGGTGGTTGACTCATATTCAGATTATGCTCCGTAAAATATGGTCTTTAACACTATGTTTGACAAAAGAGGGAAAGTGGAGAAGAAGGAATGAAGTGGAAAGGAAAGAAATTGAGAGGAAGAACAACGAGCCACTTGGCGAGGCCTTCTCCAAAAACGTTGACAAATGTGCATAACTTATAAAGTTGAGGAATGAATAGTGTATTTTAACAATTTAAAAATCTTACAATAATATCGTCCCGAAAACCCGCCTTTCTGTTTCTTTTATAATATTTATCATTTTTAATTCAAAATTTATACTACCTCCGTCCCACTCTTTTTGTCCAGTTTTGACTTTTAGAACTGTTCATCTAAGCACTTTGACTCATCAAATTCTCTCAATGTGTAAGTCTAAAAATAGTCATGTGTGATCTTGTTTGATTTGTCTTAACATATAGATTATTAATATATATTTTTTATAATTTTTTAATATACAAATTACAAGATAAAATGGATTAAAGAAGTGTATTGGATGGTGTGCAAAAATGAAAATGGGCAAAAAGAGTGGGACGGAGGGAGTATAACATTAATAAAAATACTTATTTTATTAATAAAAATACATAAATAATAATTAATAAAATATCCCGCAGGACCGCCAGCAGTGGGCGACTGCCTTGAAAATCCGCCGCAAATCGAGTGCGGCTTTGTGCTGCAGTTAGGGCGAGCGCTGCGGCGGAAGTTTTGCAAAGGCGGACGCGCCGCAAATTCGGCTCGTAATCCATGCGGCGCGGCGGATTGAAGATCTTTGCAAATGCCCTAATGCCTCCGTCACGCCGGCCATATATGTCCCCCGCCGCCGGCCATATGTGTCACCCGCGTCACTTTGTGACGGGTCACCTACAACGCAAGTAATGCTACGTAACACACGATCTTATATACTACTACGTAGTATAGTTCAACTAACATATGTTCAAATTTAAAATATTATTAATAAAAAATAAGACAACGAGTCAATATTAAAACTAATACGTAGTACTCCTAATAACTAGGAATAAAATTATTGTAAAAGATTAAAATAGG